AGAGCTATTGTTGTGCCATGGCATTGTAGCCTGTGAGCATCCAGCAGCCACAGCTTCTCCAGGTGCCAGGAAGCTCCCCTGGAGCGTGGGCAGGTGAGCTGAACTGAGCAGAGAGAGAAGCTGGAGCAAGGCAAGCAGCAAGGGGCAGTTTGTGCAGCTCAAAGTGAGTGTGTGACAGGCACAGGGCCTGACAGCCCCCACTGACATCTGCAGGCGCTCAGAGCTTGGCTTGGAGCTGTTGCAGGAAGCCCCTTGTTCAGTGCTGTGAAAAATGATGGGATCCTGTTAAAGGAATGGCATTTTTATTCAAATGGTTGTGGGCTTGGTAGCAGAAAACACAGCAAGACCTTCTGATGCTCTGCATATTTGAAAGCAGTGAATTTTTTTTTGCTGTGTGCCATAATTAAAAAAGAAAGCACAGGGACAATCTCCTCATCCATTCTCTCCTTTTTTCTCTCTCGTATAGAAATGATATCTGGTAGAGCAGCCAAGACATTTTTCAGTCTGTTGCTCATGGGTCTTTTCATTACTTTGTTGTTCTCACACTGCTTGCCCAGTTCAGCAGCTGTTAAATAGACAACTCTGAGAACTGGGGAAGGATATTGGTGTAACATTTGATTAACACTATTTTTGAAGGAAATTGATACGTCAACTATTTTTAGCTTCAGGCAAAGGAATAATCAAGCCCATCCATATGGCAGCCTTCTCTGATTTCAGATGGCTTTATAACCTCATTTTTAACTTTACATTGCTGTCTGTCACAGCCTCCCACCCTTTGTGATTTCATGCAATTTTTAACTGTATGATTGTTCCATTAGGAAATGCATTCAGCAAACTTTCCTGGGAGCCTGCAGTGCTGTGCTCATTGCTTCAGAAAGTGTGTGTTGGCACAGCTCTGTTCACAACAATGAAACAACTGAAAGCCTGGCTTTTATCCATAGCACACTCTAATTCCCTATTCATAACCTAAATTCCTTTTTGTGCAATTTGCAATTTTTTTTTCATTACATATGCTAGTTACATCTTAGGGTGAATCAGTCAAATGGGCTCTAAATTAAAATAGTTGGCTGATCTAAGCCCAGAATCTGTTGCAATGCAGTTTTCTCACAGCTTGGAAGAAAACAGCCAATACAGCCACCATAGAAATGGGTGATTATTCTTTTTGTCTGTCTTTCTCCAGGTAACTCAGTAGATGCATGTACCCTAAAGTTTTAATCTTCTAGGTAATTAGGAGAAATGGATGGGAAGGAAAGTCAATAAACCAAGAGTCCCTGAATAGGTCACACTAACAGTCAGGATGTCTCTGTGAGGACAGGAAATCCTTAAATTAGATGCATCGCTTTTGTCTCTAATTTAATCCATAAATCAGAATCAAAATTTGTTTTGAATCACACACCCATAAGAATATGTAAGTGAAGCTCAAAAGACACAAACATACAGACAAAAGCCTTGTCTAGTGCCTTTTCTTGCCTTCTTCAAAATAATCCATAGCGGCCTTGGAGGCTGAGAAAGCAAGGCTTAAACATCTCTGAATTAGAAAACTTCTGTATTTTGCAAACAGAGACAAATGGACTCCAAATTGAACTTGAAGGGGTGAATTGTCAACTGCTTTGGATGAGAGGACACCCAACACTTTGGGCTTGGAGCTGCTGAGTTTGGGTCAGTGACAGCCCTGGCACAAATGTTCCTCCTTCTTCACTCTGGAGAGAGGGTGCACACCCTCCACTCCTGGTGGCCACCACTGTGTGCTTAAATATTTGCTTTTTAAATCCAGGGGAGGAGAGGAGAGACAAGCTAATCTCATAAAGGTTCACCCCACCCTCTGCTTGGCCTCTCTTCCTTGGCAAGCCTTCCCAGCAGCAGCTGGCTGCCTGTTTTCCTTCTGCAGTTGTGCTCATGACATTTCCTGCAAGGAGGTTTTCCTGAAGGTTTCCAGCAGTCCCTTCAGCCCACACCCCCTTCTCTGGCCTCCTGCTCCACCCAGCCTGGCTTGTGCCTGGTTCCCAGGAGTGCTGTGCTCCCAGCACACATCCACACACATCCCCTGGGGATATCCCCAGCACACATCCATCCCCAGCACACATCCATCCCCAGCACACATCCACACACATCCTCTGGGAATATCCCCTGAATTTGGGGCTTTGCTTGGCTCTGAGAGCAGGTGGTCACTGTAAGGGGCGCTGGACAGACAGACAGACAGACAAACACAGAATTATTATGGCTGGAAAAGACCCTTGAGGTGTTGGGTCCAACCTCTCCTTCCTCCAGGTTCAGGCTCCATCAGACAGGCACTGGCTGGGCTCTGTCTGGTGCCATGAATTTGCTTTCCCCTTGCAATGAATTATTTTTTGGAGAAGCTGCATTTGGCCCCCTCCCTGCAGAAGGAATGATTTGAAGGATGTGGATTAGGGAGAGCACATGCACACATCCTGGATTACTCAGTGTGCTGCTACTTTCCCTCTCCTGAAAGCTTCATAAACTGTCCTTTCACAGGCTTTTAATAAACACTCAAGTGACTTAATCTTTTAGTGTAAAAGCCTACTTGTATTTTAAGCTTTCTGTTATCAGTGTCATTAAATCAATATCCTCAGTTCTACAGGATCCAAGTCACAAATAATCTGTCACACACAGTTTAACTTAAGAAGTGCAATATTGAGGTACAGTCAGCTCCTTCCTCACAGATTAGAGAGCACTTTGAAGTAGAGCTGTTGAAGATCAGAGGGAGTTTATTCCTCTGTAGCCACTTTCTTATGTGTTGAGGGCTTTCTATCCTAATGACAATTCTGCTGCAGAACTTCAGTGAAGTCTCAGAAGATGAGTATTTTATGCAGTTATCATAAATGGCACTGGAAAGCCTTGTGGAGATTATATGTCATGGATGATAAAACATGGGACAGATTCTTTTAGAGTAATAAGAAGACAAATTGGGATAGACCCTTCTTTTCCATTCTTTAAGCTATTTGTCTATTTTTCATTATTTTTATTTACTTACTCTTTCTCCATCTGAGTACATGCACAGTTCTGGACAGGTCAGGGCCTGCATGGCCTCACTTGGTGAGGGTCATTGGCTAATGAGGGACGTCTGTGTTTAGAGTTAAGATGGAGAAAAACAACGACTTGTCCCTTGCCAGAGCAATTTAATTGAGGGTAAAACATACATCTGGGATTTATGTGTGAAGAGGATACACGACTGCAGTACCATGTCTTCTTCCAAGCTGACCCCGAGGCACCCTAAACACTAAATCCATTTAGTGTATTAGAATAGAGATTTATCTGGAGAAATCTTACAAATCAGGAACGGCAGCTATTGCTCCATCTTTGCTGTTATTACAGATCTTTCTCTCTCTCCTTTTCTGGGGGTTTTTAGCCACTGTCTGCCATAGAAGTGAAATAATTTGCAGCAGAAGCTGCCTGTGGATTGTGTCCCTGTCTCACTTCAGGAGAGCTGTGGAGGTGATGGGCAGGGTTCAGCACAGCTGGCACAGCTGGCACAGCTGGCACAGCTGGTTTGTGCCCTCCTGCTGCTGGAGCAGGATCAGCTGTGCCAGAAAAGCTCCAAATGACAAAAGCAGCACGAGCAGGCTGGGGCTGTGTCAGTGGGGTTGTGCTGGGGATGAGGGATCTGTTCCCAGGGGTGGGGTGTGAGGTGTCAGGGTTTGCTCCTGGTGGAAAAGGGCTCCAGGTGTCCCCAGAGCAGAGGGAAGGGTCAGCTCCAGTCCTGGCTCTGCACAGAGCTCCTGACCTGCAGCACAGGGCTGGGGGAAAAGGGGAGGCAAGGAACGGCACAGCTGGGCCAGGGAACAGCTGGGGCAGATAAGAAAATTCCATGAGTGCTCCCAGAGATGGGGTTAAGCAGTAAATTCCTTATCTGCAGCAGAGCTGTGGCCATCCAGAGGGGCAGAGGCAGCCCTGGGCAGGCAGGAGTGCTGGGTTATCTCAGCTGGGGGAGCGGGGCTGCCCCGTGCCTGACACTGCTCGCTGTGCCTGGCACACAGGAGCAGCAAAATTCCTCCAGGAACTTCTTGTTCTTGGTTCAGTTTCAGCAGGATGAGGTGGTGGGGTTTGTTTTCTCATTCTCTGAAACAAGGAGAGCAAAACTTGATTATCCTTCGTCTCGACAGCAGAAGTGTGTTGCAATAATCTGAGAGCTGTGAATTCACCAGTGATTTTTTCATGTTGAAGACTCTTGTAATTAAAAAATTGCCATAAGGCAGGGTCCACACAATGTGGAATATAGGGATTTATGTATTAGAAAGGGTTGAACAAACATGGAAATCCTCTAGTTTGCATATTTTGTCTGTAACAAACTATTACTCCAATATAATTTGAATAATTTTGTCATCAAGCTCATGTAACGGAGTGGAGAAAGGGATCTCAAAGCTTCCTGGATATAGGAGATTGAGTTAGTTGCTAAAGCTGTTTATGGAAGATAGAAATTATGTCATTATATTGCTGAGGTGTGCTAAAATAAAACCTTGAATTATGGCATTGCTCTTCCAGTTTGAATGTACGTTTAAAATAATTGCTGTTGTGGAAAGAAAATGTCTGGGAGTTGGTCATTGTAGCACACATATTTCAGAGTTATTAATCGTAAAGTGTGACATTTTTATTACACAGGGAGAACAAACGATGAACAAAATCCAAAGAAGCCAAATACATGCTGAAGAATGATGTCCCAGTCCTGCAAAAATTAACACATGTATTTGTGTCTGTGTGCAGTAATGACCCTGGTTTGCTGTTTGCTTAAACAGGACACAGATTTCTCACTCAGAGTGGTACAAATTTAATCCCAATGTGTAAAATTAAGAGTGAATACCAGCCTTTGCATGTTTGAAGCTTGTGTTGAAGATATGAGGACTGAACAATTTTGCTCCCAGTTCTGGTGTGTTAATCTATAATAAGTCCCTTGAAATTATTGTAGCAATGTGGATGTGAAGTAGATGAATAGTGGGATTTAGTTCTTTTTAAACATTCCTTGGGGTTTATATTTTTTCTTGCAGACACCCAGACAATACAGCCAAGCACTGAATGAAAGTAACAGAGTTCATCTTTACTGTGCATTTCTGGATTATAGGTACGTTGCATAATTCCAAATCCTTTAACTTGGTTTTATTAAATTACATTTACTTTGTGATGCTGGGTGTTATCCATATTCCTCCTGCTTCCTTTCATTCATGGAAATTGTTAAAGAAATGGAACCACTGGCTTATAAAAAACACAACCTGATTGTTTCCTCTTACCCTCACTTGGAGACTTGTTATTCACAGACCCTGCTTAGGTCGGGAACTGGGAACTTTTTGGAATCAAAGTTGCAGACTGACCCAAATCGTGCTTTTCTTGCCCCATGGGTGTGCCCACCTGGGCAGGTGTTTGGATGTCCCAGGGAGGCAAAGCTCCAGCACAGCCTTGGTTTCCTCTGGGGCTGTGCCTGTGCCACAACATCACGTGGGATCAATATTCCAGAGCTGGGAATTCTGGCCACTGCATGCAATGGATAAACACAACACTTGACTGAAAATTGCAATTAAAGGGAAATAAATATCACCTCAAATCTGACTCAGAAAGTAAGAGTTATGGAAAAGCTGTGGCTTTTTTATTTCTTTTTGTTTAGCACTGAATAAATTTAATTATTTTTTTTTCTTTTGAAATACGCTGCTCTTAGTGAATTAATTGAGAAAGAATACAAGTAGTGAATTTTTAATTTCATGGGGATTAACGGGTTTTGAGCCATAACAGTGTAAGCCCAGAGGATGCAGCAATGGTCTGGGATGCTGTGATCCCTCCTGTGCTCGGGAAGGTCTCGGTTATTGCTTCACCAAAGTTTTCCTTCCCATGAGTCCGACTGTCCCAGCTGCTGGCAGTCACTCGTTGTGACGAGGGTCACAAATGAGGATAAATTAGAAGCAGATTTTAGTGAAGCAAATGAATATTGCTGGGGCATTGTTCCTCTTCTCCTCTGGGGCTGGGGCCCTGGAGGCTTTGTAAGGATGCAAACTCAACGTGAAATCTGTCCTTCCAGACGAGCCTCATTGGTGCCAGCATGGTTTTAGTCCCTAGTGCACCGTAGTTAATTTGGTTTCTGACCTACAACAGCTCTCTGAGAACTCAAGGAGGTCCTGAAGGGCAGAAGTATGAGGTAATAACAATGTTTAAAATAAGCTTTGAGAGGAGAACAGATCACTGCAGGACTCAGTAAAATCTGAAGAAATGAAGAGTTGCTGTCAGACAGTGGGGTGGGTGACCTGCGCTGCCAAGGCTGGGAGAGCACAGGGAATTCTGGCTTGCCCTGGCTCCAAGAGAAATCAGACTCATGAGGATCACTGCTGAAAAATGGCACAAAAAGGGCAAAGTGCCTGAGGATCCTGCCCAGACCCCCATCCTGCCCAGCCATTCCCACCGTGCAGCCAGAGCTGCCCCTCGGGGAGAAGGGCCAGCAGTGCCAGGGATGGTGTCAGGCAGCTGGAATTGCTCTGGCAGGGGGACAGTGACAGTGGGAAAGGGCCTGGCAGCACAGAGGACACACTGCTGCTGGGGGCTGTGCAGTTATTGACTTGTCTGACACCTCAGCTCCCAGAATACAGAAATCTGGGTCTGGTGAAATGCCATAAATGAGATGCAAAATGTAAGGAAATGGTTTAGTTGTCATCCACCGATTGTAAAACTGGGCAGAAATCTTTAGAGACCTTCCTGCAGGGGTCTGACCTGTGCCTTGTCCTGGTGAATGTTCTCCTGGCCTATTTCCATGATGGAATTGAGGAGATACCAGCAGTGTTTGTGGGGTCTGAGATGGCTTCAGACCCTTTAATCTCCTGTGGGGTACAGTGCCTGTCAAATGAAGCTACAGCAGAAGCATTTTGATGTTTGTTTTTGTGTTTGTGCTCTGGTTTTTGTGCTTGACAGCAATGGAACTGGTGTTTGGTCTAGTGAGGGCTGTGTCCGTGAGAGTGGGGACCTCAACTACTCCGTGTGCCTCTGCAACCACCTCACCAACTTCGCCATTCTGATGCAAGTGGTGCCCCTGAAGGTGAGATCAGCAAAGCACTAACTCTCTCTGTTAAAAATGAACACAAATACATCAGTTCAGTCCTCACATCTCGTAAGTGACTGAAACTGGGTTCATTTATACCCATCTTGGATTTGTTTCTCGCTTCTCTTGTGTTTTCCAGGGAGCTGAGTGAATACCCCACCCTCTGTGTCAGGCTTGGAGGTGGGCTTGGCTTCCTCAGCTCATCCACTTCTTATCACAACATTATTATCTTTATTACCTGTACAGCACCTAATGACCCCAGCTGGTTTCCAAGTATAATTTTTCTAGGAACTCTTCAGGCTAATAATAAAACACAGCTTTGCCTCAAGACCTCCTGTCTTGTGAGACAGAATTATCTTGGGAGAAATGTGCTATTCTTAACCCTGTTTTAAAGAGCAGCTTTATTACCCAGGATTAAACGGGACAGACACCAATTAAATGCCACTGAAAGATTCTCCCCTGGGGAAAGGCTCTGAAAGGCCCAGATTTCAACTAAACACATTTAGGATTGTGCTGATTTATGGGATGCTGCAATAAGTTTTTTGCATTATGCAATATTAGTAATTAGAGATCAAAGATATTTCATACAGAGTTCTTTGGAATCAAGTTTTCCTTAAGAGGTCTGAAACACAAAGCTAGGAAAGGCTGGATGTGGATGGACCTTCCAGTTCCTCACATTCCTTTAATAGCTCCGTTTTCAATACTTTATCTCTCCTTAAATTTTTGGTCTGAGGTATTTACATCCACCAGACTTTGTGCAGAATGTTTTTCCATAGCTCTGCTTTCCCCTTCATGATGAAAGGAAAATCTCATCCCAGATCTTTGTCCAAGAGTTATCCCTTCAGCTGACCATTTAGGATTGTCTTGTGGCACTAATTCTTTTAGCTAGTGAAAAGGATTGTTATCTTCATTGTGTAGTTGGCATGAAGATAAAAGTCAGGCAAAGAGAATTTCTGGCTGTTGAGCTGTGCCAGCAGACTGTGCTCATGTCAAAAAATCCCAAAACATTTGCTAAATAAATCCTACTGAACCAACATGACAATTGGAGACTTCTCTCAGGTGTCCTTGGAACCCTCTTCAGTAAATGTTAAAATGCTGTGGATTTTGAGCACGTACTTGTGTTTGTTCAGCATGTTCAGAAATCCAGGAGCCAGGGTTCAAAGGGCCCGTGTAAATCACCCCTTGGAACAGCAGACTGTCAGTGCTCTGAGGAATGGTTGCAGTGATGTTATATCTGATCTTGAACTTTTGTGTATTTTAATGTTCTTTTCACAAAGGAAGTGCACAGATAATATGAAACAAGTAGCAGAGGGTGGGAGGATGCAATTGCCCACGTTTGAACAGCTCTGTTTACACAGCTCTAATGCATCTGTGGCCAAATAAATTAAAATGGATCAAATTTTTTATATGAATACTGTTTTTGACAGAATGTTTATTTTTCTTTAGATTCTGGGGAAAAAAAATAGATTCTTACCCAAAGGGCTCTGCTTTTCATAAAAAAATGGAATTAAGTTATTGGAAATGAACTGCCTGAATGAACTCTAGAATTTTTCATCAAAAGCTGTATTTTGGTACCAAAAAAAAAAAAAGGGAATTAATTTTTCATGGGAATTCTCTGGGTGTTTCATATTTCCCTTCTCCTGTGGGAAGTGTCATTTCCCGTTCTCCCCGTGGAGAGAGCAGTGCAGCTCTCAGGGGAGCAGCAGGAGGCACAGCCCCTCTCCAGGGGCACCTCTGCAGCTTTTCCTGCAGCAGTCAGAGCCACAGCAGCACCAGGCATGCATGGTTCTGCCAGCCCCTGCAGAAAGGCAGGCACAGGCACAGAAAACAATGAAAACATTTAAAGCAGGGTGCTGCTGATGGCAGAACATCCCCAGGGAGAGCCCTGGGGAGGAAATCCGTGAGTGTCCAGAGCAGCCCGGTGTGATGAGTGCTCTCACTCTCTCGGCTCCTCTGCACGTGGATTTTCTTTCTGCTCAAAGGAAAAGGGCCATAAACTTCCCATTAATGAGACTTTGGAGTTATTCTGAGTTTGCTGCTCCCAGCTGGAGCTCTCAGGATCCTCAGGGAGCTCAGAGCAAGCCAAGGTGTCTCTGAGCACCGAAGGGACCTTCCTCAGCAGCCCCTGGGCAGGTGAGCTGGGCGCTGCTGATGGCCACAGAGCTGAGCCTGCCTGGAAACTCCTTGGACAGGAGGGTGATTTTATCCCCAGTTATGCTGAATTCCAACAAGAATCTGCTTGTTTAGCTCCTCTCTGTCCCTTGACACGGTTCAGTCTGGCTGTTTCCACCTGCAGAATTCAGCAGGGTCCGTTCCTGTGGCCCTGCCCCAGCGCCTCTCCTCCTGCTGGAGCTGCTCCAGCTCTTCCCAGCTGCAGTGTCCAGCAGCTCTCTCCATTCTGTGCATTTCTGTATCCTCAGTGTTCTCTGTCTCTGCAGAACTGTGTCACTGCTTTATGCACCTGCCTTGGGGAGGAACTGCAGTGTCCCACATGGATTTCACTTTGTTTCAGTGACACATTCATAGGGACAAAACTGAAGGTGTCTTGCATCTCCTGGTGCTGTCTCTTGAACACTTGAAACACTGAGAAGAGGGATGCTGGTGAATTGTTAGACATTTATGGCACAAACTGTCAGGTGGGTCTGATTTCTAGGGAGAGCAGAAATGCAAGAAAGTTCTTGAGAACAAGCTGTGAGCTCTTCATTTTTCTTCTTGATCTTTACTCAAAACCAGCTAGATTGATTCAGTTGCTGTTCCACTATAGTCCAGCTAGAGGTTATCTCAAAGGCTGAGATCTGCTGAGATGAAAAATCATTTTTATTCTAATATTCAGAGAAAGAAATTGAAAGAGACTACTCACAAAGAAAAAATTGAAATTCTGGAATATTGAATGTGACAAAATGAATCTTTGCTCTGATATCTGTGGGCTCTACACCAGCATGGCGAGAATTTATGCTGTGACTTAGTTAAAACTGAGCTCAGATTACAAATGTTGGACACCACTGCAGGTTTTGTGTTAGTTTCAGCAGGAGCTTCAAGGCACTGAAGCCAAGGTGATTGTGGAAGAAGAACACAAAGAGTGCTGCTGCTGAGCTCAGTTTAGTGCCTGCAGAGGTGCAGGGATTAGCAGGTGTAACAAGTTTATTTCAGGAATGAAATAACCATCCTGGAAATCCTTAGAGGCACGTGGTGCTTGGATGCCAGCCTGGCACTGACCTGTTCCCTGCTGAGGAATTGCACCTCATGGGATGCTGAGATTAATATTTGTGTTCTATCACTGCTGCCATGTCTGTGGCACACCTGGCCCAGAATCTCACTTTCTGAGATTTGTTTATCTTGTTGCTCTTCACTTGAGAATTCTAACATTTATTTTGAATTTTGGAGATTTATTTTGAATTTAGTGGTCATCAGCTGCTTTAAACAAATAAGTTGCTTGAAGGTAAAGTGGGACTGAAGATGAGCAGAAAGCCACTGAAGGAAGATGTTCAAGCCTTGATTGCATTTAGGAATGTCCTGGATGTAATTAAGGTCAGCAGGTGATCAGAACTGAGCTGGGAACTCTTTGGCCAGCTCTGATGAGCTCAGTGAGACTGAGGAGCAAACCCTGGGCACTCAGAGCAGACACCAAGAGATTGCTCTCACCAAGAGTCTCCTTCTGACAGGGAACCTGAGGTAGGGTAAAGAAATCCCTCACAGGGAACCATTGCTGCAGCAGCACCTTGGGAATTCCTGTCCTTCTCCCTCCTTGAACAGAGCAGAGCTGCAGGATCTCCTGCAGCAGCAGCACAGAGCTGTCCTGCCCTGGGGAGCTGCAGGATCTCCTGCAGCAGCAGCACAGAGCTGTCCTGCCCTGGGGAGCTGCCCTGGGGAGCCGCTGGTGCCCAGGCACTGTGCTGGGAGAAGGAGAGGAAGAAGCCCTTTATTTGGATGTGTCTGTGACTGTTCCTGCTGAGGGCCCAGGGGGAGCAGCCCAGGGCGAGGAGCTGCCTGTGGAGGGCTCTGGGGGGCTCTGCTGGGCTGACCCTGCTGGGAGCATCCCCTGGATCCCCATCTCCCATCCCCTGGATCCCCATCTCCCATCCCCTGGAGCTGGGGGTCCCAGCCGTGTGCTCTGTGCTGGACAGGGACAGGAGGGACAGGGACAGGAGGGACAGGGACAGGGACAGGGACAGGATCTCCTTTCCTGGACAGCAGGAGCCCAGCCCAGGGAGAGCTGCACTTCAGAAGTGCTTCAGAGAAAATTCAGATGCTGTTATTTCATTTTGGGCAGCTTTACCCCCCCATCAGTCAGTGGGGCCTCTGCTCCTGCCAGGAAACATGCCAGCCATCTGGCAGGTTTTATTTTCATAGTGATCCAACAGCTACAAAGCGTGCCAGGCTATTTGTACCATCTGCCACGTAAATGTCATCTCGGCAAAAGGATGGTGGACACCTGGGGACCCAGGGTTCAAAAATCCCTTTAAAGAGGAATCATTTTCTCCCACAGAAAAATGGAGCTCGAGCTTGGGTCCCCCTCCCCTGAGACACCAGTGCAGAACATGACTGAAATATTTATATCTCCTAGACCATTCTCTTGAATTGTTCTTTTGCCCTGTTTTTCCTCCTGCTGTCTTTTCCAACTGTGAGAGTATAAAAATGACTCCCATAAAGTTCACATGTGGATGGACATTTCCAGCTAAGCAATAGTGTTATACGATCTGTGGTAGAAATTGTTTGGGGTTTTGAACACATTTCCTGCATTTCTAAAGCTAGAAAAGCTTTTGTTTTTGATCCCATTTGTAGCCTGCTCACAATTCAGAGGAGACCATCAGTCAATACAGCTCAAACAGCTCAGCAATGGGCTTGAAAGCAGACAAGTGTTTATACAGGGGAAATATTTAAAACTGTCTGATCTGGAACTGTAGAAACAACCCAGAGCATTTCTAGGGAGCCCAGGATTCTGAAAAGATTTGGGTATTTATCTGTGAGCTTCTATTTACAAAAAAGAAAGTCATCCC